CTGGAGGCCCACCCTGCCCGCGGCCTGTGTCGACATGCCGCCACGTGTGAGATGCCGGGGTGGGCCACGTCATGGCTCTGCCTGCGGAGGCGTCCTTTCAGCGTCCTTCTGGCGGCCCGTGTGGAGCAGCGTCTTGTGGTCTGCCGGCCAAGGATGTCCTGGTGCTCTTGCCCGCCTGGCCCACCCGCCTCTGCACTCACATTCAGCTGGCTCAGCCTGGGTGCTGGGGCTTTTCAGGGCTGTGCTGGGCGTGGGCTAGAGGGAGCCTGGAGCGGGACTGCCTGGGCCCGAGTCTCAGCTGCATCACGAACCTGGAGGAGGACGGTTGGGTCTCTCAGCTGCTCCAGCCCCTGTAAAGCCACATACTTGCAGCTACACGTAAGGGAGGCCTCACAGAGCCAGGGCCACATCGCTGCGCAAGTCGTTGTCACTACTACTAAGCTGTTCCTTGGTCTCCTGGGGATGAATTTCAGGGCTGGATGGCTTTGGTTTGGCAGCTCACCCGCCCCTGGCACGTGGGTTGGGCCTGTCTTTTGGGCGCTGTGCTCGGCACGTGATAACAGGTCCTTCAGCAAGGAGTGTTGCTCCTAGAGCTTGGGGTCTGGACTGAGGGGCTTCTTTCTTGGGGAGCCTCTGGTCCTGTGAGTCCGAGGAGATGCTTCTTGTGACATGAGTCCCTCTCATGGTCTGCTCGGAAGCTAGGCTCATCTGGCGTCTGTATCCTCAAAACCGCAGTGCTAGGGTGAGCGGTGCTTGCCAGCCCACGCAGCTTGTGCCTGCCTTCCCGGGTGCCGCACCATGAGGGGCTCTCCGTGAGGCTGGGGCACTTCCCACCGACAGGGCGTGAGGGGTGTGGAGCCCGAGGAGGGTGTCCCGGCCCCCTGCTTCTGCTCAGCAGCCTGCTTGAAAAGGAAGTCTTCTGAGGAGCATCAGACACACCCGTGTGGAGGGGACAGTGAAGTGGCCTCTGTCACTTGGTCCAGTGGCGATCGGCATCTGCTGCTTGCCTGTGTCCGCCCTCAATGTCTGTGCCGCGGCTGCTGTTCTAGCTGCTATAAAGCACGTCCTGGAAACTGTCACCTGCACATTGTTCAGTGTCTCTCTGACAGGTCACACGTTGTCATGCCCAGCGAGGGTGCCGACTTCATGCCGTCTAAGACCCTCTGGGCTGTGACCCATGGCCTCAAGCCACACACTGCCTCAGGCTGATGTGTCTTCGAGTCTCGCCAGCGGCTCCTCCTGCCACCCCACACGTGCTCGGGCAGGCTCGCTCTTCCCCACGATGCGTCTGTTGGGGGAGGTGGCTCCTGTGTCCTGAGGACTCTCCCACGCTTGGGCCTGCCTGCTCTGTCCTCGGGCCGTCCTTGAACGTGATCCTGTCGCCTCTGTGTTCCATGTCAGCCGGTCCCTGGGTCTGCAGCTTCTTCGTGTTCCAATCCAAGGCTTCCTGCAAGACGGCCTTGCCCAGCGGTACGCGTTGCCTCCGTGAGTCACGTTGTGCATCTCTGGCTGTTGACGTGTGAGGCAGGGCAGTGGCGTCAGCCTTTGCCAGCTGATCCATCTGGTAGAAAGGTTCCCCCAGATGTCACCTAGAGTGTCTTGGCAGCCGTTGGTCGCTGCCTAGATCTGTGTTGCATTAAGGGTCTATTACCCATTTGCTCTGCCTCCGGTACCTTCTATCCGTGACTCTCCTAAGAACCTTCCCTCCTCAGCTCTGCCACCCTGAGAGTAGTCTGTAAAGGAAAGGCAGGACTGTGCTCTGTTGCTGTCACGTGTCAGTGACTTGCTGTGCGTTGGTGCTGCGGCAGTGTCCGGCCACGATCGTGAGGTTCGAGTGTCTTGTGAACCAGCCCTCGACACACTGGATGGTTTTCATCCACCACCGTCACGGTTTGGACCTTCAGCTTCCCGGGTGCCCCTGCTGTGTTGGGGGTTCACACAGTTCCGGGGGGATGAGGCCTGGGGCTCCTGAGAGGTGCAGGAAGCGCTGTAAGCGCGGGCGTGGGGGCGGAGTCACATGAGGAAGGCGTGTTGTGGAGGTGGTTGGATGGACAGGAAGGGCACGTTCCGGCTTGTGACTGCCACATGACCCTCGTAGCAGCCGCAGGACCTTGGCAACCTGGGCAAGGCACGTGACGAGGGGGAAGGGGTGGAGAGGGTTTTGGAGCATGGGGAGGAGGGGCCACGGCACAGGCAGCAGTTCCAGAGATTTTCCTACAAAGAGGAAGAGCGTGGGGTGCTGGCAAGGAAAGGGGCTCGGGAGAGCAGTGCTTCATTCACGGTTTCTCTTACTTGCTTTGTTTTGTGAGTGTCTCGTTTGGGAGTAACTTGAAACTTAAGGAGCGCTGCAGGGGTGGCACGGCTTCACATACCCTCGCCCGGGTCCCTGACCGTCTGGCAGGGCCAAAGCCAAGAAGACACCGTGCAGCCAAGCAGGTCCTGCGAGCTAGACCTTGGGGGTTTCAAGATGGGATAGCTCTACTGAACGAAAGACGGTGAGAGTCACTGGGGGACTCCAGGTGGGAAAACGGCAGCTTCTCTAGAAGATGAAGGGATGGGCATTTGTTGAACATCTACTGTGTGCAGCCCCTGGCTGGACACTGAAGACAGGAAGGCGTAAGATGGAGGTTATCCTTGTGAAGCAGGCCACACTATATTGTATGAGGCTAAAGGGTGATGAAAGGGGTCTTCCAGAAAAAGCTGTATCACACACTGAGAACATTTCAACAAGACACAGAGGAAATACCCTGGAAAAATGTGTTTTTCACAGCGGTCATTGGTTGAAAGAGAGGGTGTAGAAGGTAGAAACCTGGGTGAGCACCAGGGTGACAAGTCTTATGGTGGAGGGTGGGTAGGGCAGCGGGGAAGGCTTCGCTGTGCTCTGCAGACAGTGCTCAGGAGGGGTTACTCCTGGCCACATAGCATGGAGGCACGTGTGCGTGCTGTGACTGTCGACTCCAGGTCCTAGGCCTCCGCTGATCTTTTTTTTTCCTTTCTGCATGGAAAATAGCAATTTCCTTCATTCCTGGGAATTGCATGATCATATGCTGATAATTTAACCCAAGCGCCATTTTTTCATTTTATTTTAAATAAAACTCCAAGGAGTGTATTGTTCTCATCTTAGAGAACACAGTGAGATGTGTTGTCTTTAATATTACTCCTTCCTAATACGTGCATAAGCTGTCAGTGTGGTGATGCCATGGAGAGATACCCCCAGCCTGCCCTCGAATCATGGCATACATCTCATGCTGGTGCTCAGGACTCCTACCCTAGTGTCGGGCAGCTGTCTCGGTCCGGTCTGTTAC